CCCGTATTGTAAAAAATTCGCTGTGCCTAAACTTTATTGACTGACTGTAGTTAACTTTTTGTTCTACTTGCAAGATAATTTCATACTCAGTTTTTTTTAACCGACTTTAAATAAAGAAGAAGGTTATCAATTCGTCGGAATATTTATTTTTTTATATATGTTACCATATAACTTTAGACCACGTTAACCGATTTCGATAATTCATCGCAAAGGTGCTACCCTAAGGGTGGTCCCATACTAATTTTATTTAGATCCGATAATTCGATCGTGAAGAAATTAACGGTAGATCTAAGTTTTTATATGAAAATTGAAGTCGGTTGTGTTTTTTTTTTGCGTAAAAATTACTTGTTAGTTCTATTTTTTAACCAACTTCAAAAAAGGAATATTTTATTTTTATGTTTTTTTTTTATGTATGTTACCGCATAACTTTAGACCACGTTAACCGATTCCTATAATTCTTTTTTTAAACGAAAGTTAATAAATTTGTATGGACCACCTCATACTAATTTAGTTTAGATCCGATCATTGGATCACCACAAACTAACGGTACTCGTAAATTTTTATATGAGAATTGAAGTCGGTTGTGCTTTTTCTTAAAAATTACTTGTTATCTCTAGAAATATTTCGACCCCGTCGCCACCTAGCAGTTCCAAACAGGTTTATAGACTCTACTATCGTTACCTGCGATTTTAAATCCGTGTGTATGCTTATAGCTCACGATCCAAGTAAATCAAGTAAATCGAACAAAAATAGATACATTGGAGGTTTAAAGCTGTTTTATTTTAAATTATATTATTCTTCTCCCGATTAGGAGAATTTTCCAAATCTACAATTTCAATATAGACGCATACAGACATATGTATGTACATACATATTTGGCTTTTTGATAACTAGAAAAATAAGTTTCACGCAATTTTTATAATTTTAAAAAGTTAGTATTGGTAAATATGAAATAAATAGATACAAATGCGAAATACATACATACATACATAGGGATGTATTCATTCAATACCCAGCAAAAACGTCTCTTATCTGTTGTAATAGATAAAAACATCAAAAATTCGTACTCATCGCTTACTCTTTAGATTACGGAACGCTTTATTTTAACATAGACATGTCGTTAAACAATTGCTTGTAATCTATAGGGTAAGAGAAAGTCCATTTTGAGATATTTGTAATGCATTCTTTAACTAAACACAAATCAAAGCGGTTACCGAAATGAGGAAAAAATTTTACTGGGTAGTGCCAGTGATTCAATAAATATACAGACGCATACATCTACGTACGTTAGTAATTAAAGGTACATCCTAAGCATTATAATTTAGTCCTTATCTTGCGGCACTCGAATGTGCGGCGTAAAGTCGTAGGTCATAATCTTTGGTGCAAGAAAACCGCCATAACCGCTTTGCCCCTTATGATATATGCCGAGGCCGGAAAGAGGCACTGGAGGATTGGATACCACTTCCTGTGTATCAATAAAAGGCACAGTGCTTTGCGCAGCATCTTTTTCCAAGCTCGTATTGACAAAGTCAATGTACTGGTTGTGTCGAGAGTCTGGTATAGATTTGACAATAGTGCGTGTAGACATATCCGGGCTGTGAAGATTTATTTTTTGCCTTAAAATACCGAACATTTAGTAAGATGATTTGTTTCAGACGTAAATTCCATTCCAAGTTACCTTCGGTCGCCGCTAACATCTGTGTTGTCGTTGGATTTCCAAAAGCTATTGATTTCCGGATTTATTAATTTGCCAGCTTTAAAGTCGTATTCGGCTAGCTTGGCCTCTACGTTCAAATGGGCGCCAACCACTCGGAATCGCACACCAACGACAACGTATGAATTGTCGTCTGTGTAGATGTCGTCCAAGTCGACCGAGCGGCTTTCGAAACTAAGCGTGTGATAGTCCCGCCCATTACGCACGTCTCTATCGAATATTTTATAGTCTTCAAACGGCTTCCAAGAGAGGCTAGTTCGATTTATGGCACCTCGTGGTAAAAGTTGTCCTTCTTGAATTTGTAAGTGAAATATACGATTATTTTTCACGAAACGTAAGCCAGTGACGACCCTAAATATTTAGACATGGAAAATGAGGAAACCGCTTTCATTAATCGCTCAATAATAATGTCTTGAAGGAGGCTTACTTATTGTTTTCCACATCAGATACTGTTTCGCGAAGATTGAAGTAGCGATCAGATTTAATACTAATCTCATCGCACAAACAAAAGCAGTAGCTGCAATGCCAGAAAAGATAGCGCCACCAGGAGTCCACCTGTAGATATGTACATATGTATGTATATGAATGTGTCAGAATACACCCTTATGTAGGAATATCTCTTCAGTTTTTAGAAAGTGATATATGTACATATGTATGGAATGTGCTCTTACCTTTGTTGTGCCACGCACACAGGCTGATCGCTGACCAAGTACGCGCCCATTTTCATATTCAATGTATTCATAGCGCCGCGTACTATTACGGCTCTGTAATAAAAAAAAAGGAGTTCGCTTAAATAATGTGTAATATTTAATAAGTAATGCTCGTTACACATACAGCAGGGCACACCCACATGTCTGAGTCCACAAATGTGCAGTGATACAATTTACCAGAACATCTGGGTTGGCGTGCGCAGTACAGATCTTTAAAGCAACCCTCCGATCTGGTTGATTGGTAAAAATCGCAAGTCTCACGGCAGGTTTCCTCCTTATTCAAGTCAACTTCATTCTCGATGTAGCCCTGTAAAAGCCGAGTCACCTCATCGTAATTTTTGCCCCGTACAAATTTAGCAGGATCGCAACGCCACACAATGCGATCGGCGCGCCGCATAACTTCTCGCAATAATTTTAGCGTGCGCTCAGTTCGTTTCTCAAAGTCCATGCGCATTAAATCGACCTCTTGTGTAAAGTTACCTGTAATATATAGAAATATCAATACAGTTTTAAGTGCTAATCTCTCTGGTCCATAATTGTAGTTTGCCTTTGCCGTAGATCCTTAACATCATCCAGGAAAACTGCATCATAGTGTAGCCCTTTAGTTCGGTTAGGGCTATATCCGCATACAGCGAATTAAGGAACTGCTGGGCCGATTGTTTTGTGTGGCATATTTGGTCCATCGATTCCTGTAAACAAACAATTTTTCATTTTTTATTGTTAAGAATGGGATCGGTAAAAGTAAGTACATATCGCACACCTAGATCTAAAGTGCGATCAACTCAAAAAAAAAAAATAAATAAAAATTAGGACAATTTTTTGCATAAATCAATGAATGCAAATATATTTTTCTTAATGATTATATACACTAACTAAGAAACTACTATTATGCCGGTTTTTGTATTAATTGCATCGAATTTGTACGATCCCCAAGCAGTTATATTTCCCGATCTGAATTTTGAGTTAGCTCATTAAGATCTAGGTGTGCCGATACGTACATATATGCCTATATATATGAATATACATATGGTATGTTAAAAATATGTATGTATAAAAAGATCTTTCACATCTACGAACATTTTTAATACAGAAAGTGTTTACCTAGGCTTGTTAAATACTTTCTAAAAAACAGTTTGCGCATTAGGGTGCATGTGTAAAAATTCATGGCCTTGCTTTTTTATTCGAAGGGCAACTGTGGGTTTTTTTTTGCAGATACTGAAACTTGAGTTGCTTTATGAAGCCCTGGTATTTCGTAGCTTCATTCCAGCTCTATTTGCTTTGTTCTTTCTTATTTCGTAGTTTGTGGTCACTTTAGGGCTGACAGTTTAAAAGGCATACATTTAAAGTGCATATGTAGAAAGTACGTATATATATAGTTATACCGTTTCTTAACGCGCATATGTATGTGTGCATTTCTATTGTTTACCTAGATTTGCCAATCGAATTGGCGTTATGAGAATTGGCATATGTTTTTAAATTGCTTGAATGCATATGCATGCATGTATGTAATCAACTCCATCAGCAATTTAATTAAAAATTTAATAAAGTATGTAGAAACCCGTCGAGGCAAAGTTAATTCCATGCATTTTTCGCAGGCAAATTAATATATATACATATGTGTTATAACTAACTGGCTTCTATTTTCAATAGTGTGAATAGCGTGATTTGTTGAAATTTTTTACGATAATAACTGAATCAAATGCATATTACGATGAAATGTGCACCACCTAGCCACATTCGTGAACAGCTGCTTAAATACTGTCTGTCTGTCTGTCTCTACATAAGCATTTCATTTTTGTTCCATTTGGTATTCGAATCTATGGACATTCCTAAAATATGCCCACAGCGACTTTAAACTGACCAGCATTGCTCTGTAATACAGTGCTTGCTTCACCATCACTAGTTCGACATCCTGGAAAATGCGCGACATTGAAAAGGTGTTGTCGTTACGTAGCGCCGTCTCGCAGATGTCCAGTACGGCGCGCTCATTTAGCTCAGCTGTGTTGTTGTGCTCGGTCATGAAATTCTGCAAATGCATGAAATAAAGTATTTAAAATGCGGTCACCACATATCGTTCCCACTGCACATACATATGTACATATGTATGCATACAAGCACATAACGTTACCACTATATATAGTACATAGAAAGGTCCTAACTCATTTTTTTTTTCGAAATTCCGCTTTGTACAAAAGTGAGAAGATTACTCACTAACGACTAACGAAAGAATTTAATAACAACTAACAACTACATCATTAAATTAGTTTTTGTGCTTATTACAAAACCAGGGCTTTGATAAAATTCGCAACGAAAGATCCTTGGTTTTTATAAACTTTTATAACCAATTTGTACAAAAACAAATATATTAGATAGGGCCTTTCCATATCAAGGTGTGACGATATGTTTCACACTGATTTGTATAGTAATAGCGCACCTTATAGTAACCGAATATGCTGTCGATTTGCAGCAAGTCGCGCTCCAGTAGACTCCATTCGTAGTGATTTAGTATATCATACTTTCCCACCTCGAAATTGCTTTGTAGGTTGTCATTAACAAATTTGCGATGCGAGTCGTAAACTTTTCGCAGTTGCGAACTTTTGCTGGTACCGTCTCTATTCAAGTAATCCCACAACGAGTCCTGTAGGGCGAAGTACTCGCGTCGTGTTGCGTCGACTTGTAAATCGGCAATTTGTAGCTTCAACTGTGCCTGCGCCAGCGCCGATAAGCATACACCAATTAGTTGTGTCAAGAGGAGCAATCGGAGATCAGTTGCCATTACGCAGTGGTTTTTGCGCTTCCTAAGTAACAGCATATTTGCTGTGTTGGTTAAGTTTAAGTTTTGATTGTTGTTTTGATTTAGCGTTGTGTTTTGTTTTATTATTATTTGTTATCACCACAAGAGATGAAAATGTCTTTTTTGACCTCGAGCATAGGTTTTATATTAGATTAGTAAAAAAAAGCTGTATGCTGTAAGCCGTTTGCGTGAAATGTATACAGTTGGACTAAACTTTATTACGATTCGACATTTTTATGCACATTTTATGTACGTGCAAACGTCTGACTGTGTGTAGCTTATTGTCTGTTGGATAAACGAAATCTCATCGCAATTCAATAATTTCACGTCTTTGTTTTCTCCTCCGTGTTTCACACAAACACTTATTCTGTGTTGATGACGTCTGATGCGCTTTCGTTTTGGCATTCACAACCACCTCTGTTCGACACGGAAATTCGTTTATCACTTTGAAAATTTCTTATTTTATGCTGTTTTCAGCAGAAAAGTAAAAAATATCGAAGCTCTACTGAAATGACAATGCTAATTTAACTCTTTTCTATGTAGAAATGCTTAGTATTACGCGATCCAAATGGAAGTGGATTGGTTCTTTACTTTTGTTTAATTTTAAAACAATTGTGTGGTGCCGCGCTGTGACGAGCCACTTTGTCTGTTTTGTTCAGTATGCAAAGCTAAAGTAAAAACACGGCGATAGAATGGGAATTTTATTTTGATGAGAGGCGAAACTCGTAACCAAGCTGAGAACAAAATCGAGGTCGAAACATGTAAACGAACTGAAAATGTTGAGGTGGGTAGACCACCAGTCAACGAATGGCGACGATTCCGCTAAATCTCAGCGCTGGCTGAGATTGTGAATCGATGATGAGGAGAGACATATGTACATATACTATGTATTTATATATGGAAGTAGATATGTGTGCGTACCTCCCGCTCTGATGAAGAGTGTGTTTTAGTGTTACCAGGTTAGCTTTTGAAGAATTGAGAATATCGGGCTAGCTTCGTGTCATTATTATGCCTCAAATATTTAATACTATGCTTTGAATAAAATATGGTCACTTGTTGATCCTTACCAGATTAGTTCAGGGTCTCAAAAGATGTACGTTTGTTGAAAGCTGTTGGGGTAACTATGCTTTGATGATCGAATAATGTAACATGTTTGCTCCAGTTGAAGACAATTCGTGGAAATGTAAAGTGCATATCGAGCCCTAACCGTCAAAACGATGGATGTAAGCGACACTCTTTTAATTTTCTTTTCGATGCAGAAATGTTCTTAGAGCATCTAGACGCATTTCTGCATCAAAATTAAAATTGAAAAATTGTCGCTTACATTTTTTGGCTTTTAGGGCTCGATATGAAGGCGTTGTTTTCTACTATCAGCTTTGTAGAAAAAATTTTCAATGACCATTTCGGGCTAGTTTCGGGACATTAAGATTTGACCGACAGCGAACACAATAACCTTAAATTCATAGTTCCCTTGTTGTTTTGTGATTTATCAATCAAAGAAAAACAGCTAAATATGCATATATTTATTAGCTAAAATTTGCATGTTTATCATTCTCTTCATCTGGCAGTTTGATAGTTTTCACAAACTCGCCCGAAAAAATATTCCGGGCGAACATGGGCTATTAAGAAACAAAAAATACTCTCTGAAACAAAAGGAAAACAAAATAGGCATTTTCGGGCACCCATTACGGGCCAGCAGAAAACACAGGCCTGTTACTAGTGAATAGCACTAGGATTTTTTTTATAAATTTCACACTCGCTTGATAGGGAAGCTGGGTTACGTATTATGCGAAAATTTAATTAATGTTTGTATGTATATACGAAGATCTTTTGAAGATTGTTATACAGTGTCTGCGACACTCTAAAAGACCCATGCAAGCAATTTACATCACATTCAAAATATTTATAAATTTAGGTGAAATAGTTTTTAGAGATAAAAGGTGTGATATGTAGTTTAGCGGATGAGCACAAATATAAGTTACCCAAGTGGGTCTAGTGTCTAAGTCTAAAAGTTCTTATCCGTGCTTCACAGGAAAGTCTGAATCTGAATTGAAATATCTCTCGACTGTTGCCGCAAACGGGGTCGGATAAATCTAGCATGTGTTATTGAGTCTTATTATGTTAAAAGAAATTATGATTTGTAACTTGTAACTGTTTAAAACGCTGACAATTTTTAACTTAATTTTTAATGAGATTCAACTTTTTCTATAATTATTGTCAAGTAGATTTTTGTTAACGCTTGGTCACATTGGTTGGTGTGTTCGTTGGTTTTACACCTGCATGTAGACAGATGCGGAGAAGAGCGAGCATTATGTATATTTGTATGTACATACATATATTGTACGTATGTGCCTGTGAGTGACTTGACTATGGGCTATGTTATTCGAATTTGCTACGTTGTCTTTTGATAGTAATTTTAAGCCAAGCTTCGGCGATTTAGCAGAGCTAATCGTGAGCAGGTTTTTACAGTTGTAAATATTATTATTAGTTTTAAATCAACCTGCTGACTAAGTATAAGATCCGTCATCTACTACATAGTTCTTAACAGTCTATATATAGTATATAGTTTTTAACAGTCCTGACTAAATTTAATTAGTTTCGTTTTTCCAATACTACATTTGCGGAATATGTGACAAAAATAACGTTGTAACGTTGCCAAACTGCCTAAATGATCTTTATCGGTTAGTTCCCTGATTATTAAATTTGTTATAATTGCTGATCATTATTTAGGGCCCCCAAGTATATTAATTATTTACTATTTTACTATTTAATTTTGTCTAAACATATTTGCTTCCATCTTATCGGATGTCTTGCCCTAAAGTGCTTGCTCTTACTCTTCTTGCACTTACTTCTCATTCAACATGTGTTCATTCTCACATTTTTAAATTGCATTCACATTTTTCAGCTGCCCTGTGCATGGGTCAGCACTGTTGGCAAATCATGGTTGCCATGGTCAACAAAAAATTGTTTTCCTCTGGTTTGGAAATCATTTAGGATTTATGATTAATTTTATAAACTCATCGCTTACAGTAGCATATCCTCTACTACATACATTTGTTTGTATATAGTATGTGTCTGCTATTGCACTGCGTCAAGTCACTTGACTCGAATTAATTTATTCGCTTTAAGTAATCTTTTACAGTATTGCTATTTACCAGTCTTCTCATTCTTTGTTGGCACATGAATTGTTGAATGAGTCACACAACTATTCGTNCATATTTACAAAATACAGTACCATGCTATCCTTGAGTTTTCGTTAGGTGCATATGTATGTATATCTAGGATTGCCGGCGGCAATATTGAGTGTTTACCTCGTAAGATATTGCCAGCATGGACAACATATTTGCTGTTGTGTTCTCCTTTTCTTCTGGGCCAAGTAATATTAAATGCAAGCGATCCATCAAATGATGTACCGAGTGCGCATTGGGCGACACTGTCCATTCGGCGAAGGTAATCAGAGTGCTGGCTTCAAGTTTGTCCTGATACTCCTCGTACTTCTGCATTTGTTGGAAACGCGAGGATATGCGGTTCATCGTATCGTGAATGTCATTCATTTTGGCCATAAGCGGTGCATTGCTATTCATAAATGCAGTCACAGATTCAACAGCCAAAGCGACGTTTTCAGCATACTAAATAAAAGCAGTTTAAGTTCATGATATTTGTTACATACATACATATATGTCATATATGCAAGCATGTGCGTGCGTGAGCAAACCTTTTGTTCTGCCTGGTCTATTTGACGGCTCATTTCCTTCAAGCGTTTCAAAACTTTACGTTGTTTTTCGCGCATCAAAGGTAACTCGATGCTTTGAGCGATTTGTGATTGTTGAACAATGTCCCATGCCTTTAGTACACCAACAGTAACTTCTTTCACCACATGAATAATATCAAGTACATCCTCTATAACGGCATCGGCGGGCGGTGGTGTGGCGAAGAATAGAAGGAAAACTACCACCAGCCAAGACAAATGGCATGGTAAATACATGGTTGTGTTTTTATATTTGTTTCAGCAGGTATTGTAGCTGGTTGTTTGAGATCTTTGTAATTTCTTTAACGTTAATAAAGTGTTAAAACATTTTTTCCCAATAAATAGCGAAGAAGTTGCTTTTTAAGAAGAGTAACTAAACAAACAGGAAAAAGATGTATTTAAACACGTTTCACCGAAAATACCACTTCACGCACACCAAACACCGCGTCAACGCTCGTCAGAGGCCAATACACGAATAAAGAAATTTATTAACTAACTCGGAGAGTCAAGTGCGCTCAAAGAGCACTCGTAAATGTTGATAGCGACATTGCCATTACGCTACAGTCTGTTAACTGTACTCCCACTTCGAAATGTTAAATTGCAGCTGCATACTCAAATGCATTAGGGAGGTCCAAATATTTGTGAAAAATTAAAGTCTGAATTTTAATGCTCTCGCCCCTAGGATTGTTCTATATCCAAAAAAATATACCTCTGTTTTTTATTTCGCCTTTTTTACCACCCATTTTTTGGGGGACTTGTGAAAAAACAGTTATGGGCCATTCCATTGTGACTGGTGGGACATTTTACTCCAGAATGTGATCAATTGTGAATTTTAACTATGTCGTCAGAGCTTATATAAGAGCGAAAGGTATTTTTTAACATAGAACGATAACTAATTTATTGCTTTAACAAAAATACCAAACGATTTCTTAGTTTTATGTAACTATCATTTGAATGAATGTGACTGGTGGGACACTGAAAAGAACCCTATTTACCCTATTTTACCCTAAAGCACTCAAAGATGAATTTTAGCCAAAACACTTAATCTTCACGAACAATGTTTTTGTGTTGTAAACTATGAACTATAAATACGCTTTCGTTTTCATAAAAAATGAGGTTTATATAATCTTCATAGAAATATTAAAAAATATTTAAAGTTGTGACTGGTGTAAAGTAATTATGCATGCAATAAAAGTTTCCATAGACAAAAATTACAACTTCTTTTGATTTTTTTAAAACTTCACAAAAAGGTAATGAAATGTAGTCATTTAAAAAGAGGTTACTACTGAAATACAGATAATTAGGGCACATTTAAATTTACGTCGTTTTCTTCGTTTCAAAGGAATATTAAAAAGTTGGGTATTGTTATTGAAATCCCTGATTGAAAAATATTGATTTCCAAGAATACCGTACCATTTCTACGAAAAATAGTTTATTTCCCGACATAAAACACATGGGAAACTATGAGCGTTTTAAGCGACCTCTAAATTCGTTTTTGATATCAAAATAAAATAATAGAGGTATAATTTTTTCGGCATAGGCCAACTCCAGGAGGTGAGAGCTCGCTCTAATGTATGCACACTTGTGGCCAGGTGATTAAGTTAAGTGACATTTTGACCAAGTTTGGTTTTTTTCTTTTGTTTATTTAATGTTTATAATTATAAAAATTCCACAAACTAACAATTAAACCCAAAAACTTAAAACTTTTTATTCAGAATTTTAAGAAAAAATAGGTATGCCCATGCCCTCTTATAGTCCATTAAATTAGTAGGTTAAAGTGAAAATTTCAGAACGCTAGATAATCGCATTGATCTTGAATATTTTTGTTTTTTGCTGACGGTGACGGTGAATGAAAATGCACAACACTGTCAGACAAAAAAAAAAATATTAAAACGCGTCCTGAAATTTGCACTTTAATTTACTATAATTTAATCAACTATAAAAGCGCATACCCAAAATTTGTCTTAAAAATTCGGAATAAAAAGTTTAAATTGTATGGGTGTAATTGTTAAAGTTTTTTGAATGTTAATTTTTTTTTTTAAATTTTAAAATAAGGATTTATGTGGTGCTGGGTGTGTAATGTAGTAGGCAAAAAAAACCTTGTAAACATTAAATAAACAAAAGAAAAAAAAGCATTCCCGCATAAAAAAATAATAAAGAAACGTCACGAAATTTGTATACAATAGATATGAAGCTCGTTTGTTAATATAGAGATGTATGTAATTCTAAATTTACGTTTTTGGAGATTTAATAATGAAATTAAACCGCCTTCTATATTATTAAACGTGTACTATAACCAGTAATTCTGCATCAAAAATGTCGGTGTTTACTTACTACGGTCTTTTTAGTAAATTAGCGATATTTATTTGCATTTGTATGTACATTAGGGCGGCAAGAAAAAAATTCCAGCCACTCCCCAAATATCGAAGAATTCGAAAATAAGGATGCCCGTGTTTTTTTTTTTTAATTTATTTTGAAATCGGTTAACCAGTCATCAACGTTTAAATCACAGAAAAAAATTTTACGATAAGCAGTTTAGAATTGTGGTTGAATTTTGTCTTTGATTGTGCTACTAAACTCAAATGAGAAGAGCAGGAGCATTACTACCGGCATTATTATTACTCTAAAATCTATGTATATGAACCGTTTATTTTGAAAGTGGCATGAGTCACCTCGTACCTCTTGTGCTTAGAGGACCAGTTACTTGTAGCCGAACGCATCTGCAAATCGTTCTATCGTCGTAAAGTAATGGCAAAACCTTGCCTTGTACCATTGGTTGATTAAGTTGAACGAATAACCGACGCGTTAAGATACCAGTAACCGGCCATTTAAGCACAAGAGCTGGGAAGTGATTCATGTCACTTTCCAAATAAACGGCTCATATTTATATATATATGTATGTATGTACATACGTTCTTGTTCAATATAATAATAAGAACGAATGTCTTTGCACTACAAAAAGCAACGGTTTGTAAAGCCACGTTATATTTCGGAAATGCGCCATATCTAGCAGCGTCAAGCGTGCGAATCGAATTCTTAAATTTATGAAGAACTCATTTAATAGGAAAACAAAGCTATGAAAAGCTATTCAGGATATCTATGCAAGCGTGTGACAAAATTAGACGAGTTAATTCTACACTTACGCCAAAATCTGCCTAACCTTGCTTAATTGTACTATCATGATTTGAACTATAAATAATATTTATTTTTCTATTTAAAAAGTTGTTTAACTTTGTTTTTTTTTTTAACTACACTAGCCCTTTTCTAAATAACACATGGAGTGATTTTACAGTTGCTCGAAATTTTTGTTTATAAATAAACACAATGCATACACAAAAACGCTACTCGACTGTTTCGTTTTGATTTTGGAATTTTTACACAAAATACAAATACAAATATTTAAAGGTAGTTTCACTTCTTCCACATACCCGCCATGGCTCCCATTGTGCTTATGACATTTTCTTTTAAATTGAAGCTACCATATTCTTTGAAGGAATTAAAGAAGTGGTTATTTAGTTAAAAAAAAAAAAAATACTTCAAAAAAATATTTAAAAATAATTACATTTTGAGCATCATTTTATAGTGAGCTTTAAGTGATTTATTTCTAAATTAAATATAAAACGGAAGACAAGTAAAATACTCGTATTACATTTAGGGAGTTCACAAGGTGTTGTATACTGTCGTACTGTTGTATGTCATAAACTTTAAACGGCTAAAACTATAAGCTAACATAAAAGTTTTATTATGAAATTTCACACAATTAAAATATAGTTGGTGGTGATTTCAAGTCCTCTAAACATGTATTTAGCCGTTAAAAACTTTACAACATACAACAATACGACAAGTACGACACCTTGTGAACCACCCAATTGTGTTAGCTCTGCTAATGCTTGCGAGGTAAGCCATGTTTTCTTTCAGTTTTTAGTACCAAAATTGTCATCATGGCCAATGTCATCTACTAGTAAAGCGCAAAATGAACACCTCCGACGACACATTAGGGGTATTCTCTGAGTCTTGCAAAGCCCTTGCATGGTGCACAGATTGCACGGATTGCACGGTAAAAACCGGTTTTCGTATGGGACAGCTTTGCAAACCGTGCAATCCGTGCACCGTGCAAGGGCTTTGCAAGACTCAGAGAATACCCCTATTACGTTGTCAGTTGCAAAATAACGTGCAGCCGAAGTTATTTCCAAGCGCTGAACTTTTCTGAGCGACTGGTTTGCATTACGCGTAACTTATTTTGTAAAGCGGCTCAGATGTACATTCTTAATTCCTACTTACATAAGGCGGCCACGTTTTTGTTAAAGTAATGGAGATTCGGCAAGGAAGTGGTAAGGACCGCCAGGTGAAGGGCAATACCTTTCCAGCAACTTACACTTGATATTTTTGTGTTTGTACCAACACCCACAACGTGTTTTCCCCCTTTAAATAAAATCCTTCATAAACTTAAAAATAATTAATAATTAACGATAAACAATAAAAATAAAATAATTTAAAAATTTCGTGAACTCGGAGACTGGAGAACATCTGTCGTCGCGTTTTTGAGAAATTGCATTCCAAACTTAAATCGCGATTTCGCAAAACCAGCCGAAAGTTATCACACGGCTACGCTTATGGTCGAGTGTATGCAATCGCGGCATCCATCGAGCAGATAACTTTTTCATGTATAAATATTTGTGTAAAATGTGATGCACCAGCTCAGTTCAGATGACTACAACAGCTTCAGCCACCTCACGCGCTTTCATTCCCCGATCATCGAATATCATTTCACTTTTTATAATTTGTTTTTAAACTTCACGAAGTTGTTTGCTTTTAATCCGTTTTCCCGTCTCGTGAAAATATTTCATTCTGGAAAAGGGCTTTCATACCCTTTTTTCATATTTCATAGCTTATCTACATATACATATATGTACATATCTGTGGTCAAAAGCAATAAGCGCTTAGGTCGAATTAAGAAACAATTGAGTTATAATAGGCGATCCATCTAGACTTTGATTTTTAAGTCTAAATAAAAGACTTAAAACAGCACTGGAAATCGGAATCTTAACCCGAAAGAACATTCTCTGACATTTACTTTTTAAAATTATTTTAATTATATTTCTATTGTTGACATAGGTATCAGAAAATTTAATAGTCTTTACTAATGTAAAAAATAAATTTAAGATAGGTAGCGTCCACAGTAAAGTGCAATTACTTTAGAGTGAGCGAAAAAGTGAGAGTGTTGCAATTTTCTTTCCCTCTTCTTCATTGAGCGAAGAATAGATAAAATTTGACATTTGTTTACCGAAAGCAAAAGCAAAATACATGTAAGTTTGTTTTTGTACTACCGCTACCACCTTATATGAATTCGCCTTGTTTATCTAGCGATTTGTTTTTTAAAGAAATACAAAATTTTAAAATTTTTGTATCTAATATTTTAACTTCAAATATTTTCATATTTTTCAGAGCTTCTTTTATGAGATATTGGCGGGGAAATGGGTTCGCAATGGCTTACAAATCAAAGGTCAAGCTATGACTTATATACAGGCGAACTTCTGCAATTCTATGGCCGACATGGACCTCTTTTTTCTGCAAATCTGTGCTACGAACTTGCCACAGTACTTCTTTTTGCAGAACACAATCGAACTGTTTGGTGTGGGTCAGTGGCTAGAGTTGGCACCACTGAAGCAGCCCCAAAAGATGGAGCAGTGCTCGATGCTAGAGGGATTCCTAACATTTCTGGCAACGCTTGTTACCAGTCGTACCAATCTTGGCAACGACGAGGCTACACAATGTATAATTGAGATCAGCGCTTTACTGGCTACTGAAAATAAAACACACTCACAACTCTTAGAATTAATGCCTGAGAGATCGGGTAATGTACATACGAAAAACTTCGAAAATTTCCTTAAGAAGTTGTCTGTATATAAAGCGCCTTCCTCCGGCTCGGAAAACTTGGAACAAGGTCTTTTCACGCCAATAGATGATGTGTGGGAGGAATATTATGACCCTTTGCATGTGCTACTACGTGCCGTACATCGGAGGGATTTTCAATCTTCCCTCGATCGGTTTACAAATTACGTCAAGAGTAAGAATAAGATGCCCACGAGCGGTAACTTATGGCCACCGTTTCGCATGCCACGTCCTGTAGGCGCTGCTTTCAGCGATCCATGTCGCATTTTGAACTCTCGGGTTTTTCATTCTACCATACTTTCAATTTTGTTTCGGGCGGTGCACTCACGCGATGTATCTGAGCATCTGTTAGCTCTGGCAATTTTTCTCTTGGAGGTCGCTGTCGAAAAGAGTGAGGACACAAATGGCGCCAGCAATGATAAGGCTGCTGTAGTGGAATGTGAACCGAAAGGTAAACCCGGATATCCATTTGCAATGAGGCGGGATCCGCCCAAACTTTTCCATTGTTATCCGACGGATAATCTAAGCTGCAATTTGCGATATGTCGTTACGAAACTTTCCTTAAAGTCACACGAGCCGCAGGTTTCGCCAGCGAACTATCGTTCGAGTCAATTTTACGGTGATTTGGATTATGATGTGGAAACAGAGACGACGGCTGCATTGCCTATGATCGGTGGCAGTGATGACGACTTAGACGACGATTCGATGAGTGTGAGTGTGAGTGTGGCGGGCGCAACTTCGACAGCAATGGTGCGCATGCAGAATATGGAAGTGGCTTTGCCACCGGATCTATCTGTGGTGCCCGAACAAGGATTGGTCATTAGACAAGATAGTCAAGAAGACGATACTCTGCGAGACGACGATGATGCTATTGAGGGTGCCGCACCGTCAGTTGGATTTCGTTTCTCGCTGCAACCTATCACATTGCCCGAGAGTGGAATGGAAGTGGCTATCCGCAGAGAATTACAGTTACTGGCTGGTGGTAGTGTAGCGACTGGTGGGAGTGTGGGCGCTAGTGGTACATCGGGCGGAGGCTTAAGGAGGGCTACGGAAGCTCAACAACATCCGCAACAGCAAAATGAAATGTTTTCACCAACCAGCAATAATAGCAACAGCATGCTGTTGCCATTTCAGCGGGTGCAACCTGTGGCTGTGCCGGTCGGTAGTAGAAGCATAGTGCCCACAACAACAATGCGAGGAGTTTTAGGACGACGCACCTTCGATTCGAGTACTCGAAAACGGACTACACAGTTAGTAGACAATGCAATTGGGGGACAAAACAAGGACGAAGTTCTCATAGAGGAAAGTATACTTTCGTTGCTTTTAAAGCTACATTCTCAACTAAGTGGTACATTGGATAGCTTCTCATTGAGTGATGTTGAAGATGAGGAGGAAGAAGAAGAAGAAGATTCTACAGAAGGGACACACATTGAAGAGAGCGACGCGGAAAATAAGCACAATAAAAGTGCGACATGTGAATTGGGAAAGTCCGCAGCAGCATCATCAACAAGTACATCAGGCAATGCAAGCGTATTGAAGGTAGACGAATGGAGTCAGAAAGCGGGTAACGCTTCGAATTCTCCTACTGCCATGGATATAGACTGTTCGGAGGCAAGCACTTCGGCCGCAGCTTCCAACTTGAGTTTTGATTCTAGTCAACGCGAACAACCGTACAGCAGCACAATAAGAAAGCGAAATCGTAATTATAAAAAAATACGAGTATCCGATTCTCGAATTGGGGATGGTCCATATTTTATTGGTAATCTTATACGTAAAATAGCTAAGCGTGATGAGTTGTGTGCACAAAGCATTGATGAGATACGTTCGCGCCTTTGGCCGAACCAACGAGAAAAGCAAGCGGAGCAAAGGGCCCGCGAAGCCAGGGAAAAGGAGGAACGTCGGAAGCGCGCCCGCGAACGGCAAATGAAAATGATGGAAGAGTTCGCAAATAAGCAGAAGGAGTTCATGCAAACGGCGGCGCATAATATGGAGTGTGGCCTGGACGACGAAGACGATGATTTGTACGAAGAGCAGCCGCGCGAAAAAGAGTATGACTGCATTATTTGCAATTGCACAACACCCAGCACGGAATCCAATCCTATTGGGCTTGTGGTATTGGTTGAATCCAGTGGCATTGTTGGACATCGGCGTCGCACCGCTGAACGTTTGCCATTGCCGCTTTGTCACGAAGACGAGGAGCGCCTAAAGCTGACCACAAGGTTAGCCACTGAGTTCAATCGACGAACTGATTTGCTAAGTTTAAAATTTGGCGAAGAGTCTTGGTATCTCTCCAACAACATGGCCTACGAGAATGGTGTACATGTTCAATCGTGTGGCCACCATGTTCATCTCACTTGCCTGGATGCATACTTGAAAACACTCTACGCCACTCAGCGCCAGCATCAGCATGAACGAGGCGAGTTTTATTGTCCGGTATGCAGACAGCTCTCTAACTCGGTGTTGCCATTGAGTCCTCAACTAGACAGGCCCACTCCCATGGTGCGCTCGGGCACTCAACCTTTCGAGCAACTAGTAGCCGAGTTGACAAACTTAATCAAAGAAAATGCGCGCCCAACGGTAAGCACTTATACTTGGTTTACACCAGGTGCGCACCCAGAAAATTCTCTTAAAGATAAGTTTTTGGTGGCGTAAAAAGTCATAAGGGTTTTTTTTTT